CGTGCTTCTCCAAGCTGCTTCCTTGGACGCTTCGTAAATGTTCACACGGTAGGGAAGCCTTGGCATGTGTGTGACCTCACATTGTGAAGGCCAATGTTGGGCGCGTTCAGATTTTACCCCTGCATTTCAAAGACAACGATGCTGAGTGCGTGCTTCCGCGTGTCTGACAGGTGTGCGGACGTGAGGCTAAGGAGTACGACCATATTCAGAACACTTTTTGTGAGATCATTTTTCCCTCCACAGTCTCAGAGCAGATGGCCTGGAAGCTCCTAAGACTGGATTCCTGCCGTCACTTCCTGGCAGCTTGAAGTGCCTGGGAATTTTCCCATCTGACAAAGACTCTCTAACACGAAACAGTAAAAAAGCTTCAACCCAACCGTGACCAGAGAACTAAGTCTTAGTTCTCCCTTTGGCACAGCTGCATGTTTCTTTGTCACTAAATAATGACAAGTAGTGCTGGGTGTATGAGTTTTAGTCAAAAAGTTTTACTGTAGATCCTAGAAACCTTTGCAAAATAAAAAACTCAAAATATATCAACATGCAAAGCTGTTGCTTCTCAACATATTCCCTTTCTAGGTCTATACACTCCTGAAGGTCGTGTCCCATCTCTAACCCTGACGCCCCACCACCACACACACATTATGCACTCTTTGATTTACATCATGTCAAAAGGGCAGTTTGGACATGGGGACGAAGCTGTCCGTAGGGGGCAAGAGCAGGGCTGTAGGGTGAGGGAGTAAGATTTCCCAATGAAATTCTCCTAGCACGGCCCTTGCCACCCTGGCAGAATGAGCAGGTGCGTTGTTGTGATGTGCAAAACTGCTCAGCAAAATTGTTCTGTCTTTTCCTCACCCATACAGTTACCAAGTTTCTGAAAACCATTTCATAATTGCCCTTGATTGTCATGTGTCCTTCGAGAAACTCAGTCAAGTTTACCTCCTTGCGATCCCCCAAACCAATCACCATAACCTTCAGCACTGACCTCTCTGTCTTGAATTTAACTGGCCAGCAGATCCTCTTGAAAGTCACTATTTTGATGGGACCTTTTGTTGTTGTTTTCCAAGGCGCCCTAATGAGACTAAGATAGGTGTGTTCCTGTGAGAACTGATCTGCAACCATCCACTTATCAAGGGACATGTTTAAAAACATTTTGTTTGGAATAAACCTGTGGTTATATGCATTTGCAACCGTAGTAGCCATAATTTTTTACTTACCTTGGTATAGAAGCAATAAGGTCCTAGAGAGGGAAAAATACACTTGATTTTATCCAGGTACAAGTTATCAAATGTTTTACAGTCATTCCTTCAGTGAAGTCTCTAGATAAAATACCATACCTCTCATTGCTCCTAGATGTATTATTACATATTGAACAATAAGAACTAGTTTTAGAATAACGATAGGGGGAGAAGATTGAAATATAAAGTGCCTTGTCTGGGGCTCTGAAATCTCTGATGATTGATTCTAAAGCAGGGTCATGATTACATGAGCCACGAGTTTTCTTCGACATTTAATCGATTGAAGGGATTGTGAAGGTCATGGCGTCTGTAAATGTGTGTGTGTGTGTGTGTGTGTGTGTGTGTGTGTATGGTAAATTGAAAAATAAGAGGGGAGAATCATATATTATCTCCAGTTTGATCATCATAAAAATTGTGTGCTTGTTGTGTAAAACCATTGTATTAAGCAATGGACAGTGAATCCGTTGAATGAAAATTTGGAGTTGCTAAAGAGAAATAGGGACAAAGATTCAATTTTGTGTTAGACAGGGTGCTCTAGAGAGACAATACCAGATTGCTAATAATTTTATATATATTTATACAGATAGATAGATTTATAACATAAGAAATAAATAGTTAATTAAATTATAAAGCAGTACAATTGGCTCAGTGCAACTCACTCTTGTGAGACAGTTGTGAGACACTGGCAGTGCTTCAAGTCTTGAGGGCTGCCGGGTAGTCCTCTGTAGAGCAACTCAGGCTATCCAGCCACAGGCAGCAAACAGCAAGGCAGGTCACCAACAGTCAGCCAGATGACAGGGTCCGACAGTCCCCAGCTCAAGAGATGTAAATTCCTATGGTGTGGCAAAGCAGGCCTTGAAGGAACCTCAAATTACAGCTACACAGTCCACGGGTTAGGTGTCCCACAGGTAGTGTAGCTTGCAAATGGAGGCACAGGACAAGCAAGGCAGCCACACTCTGGTCTGATGATCAAAGAGCGAGAGACAAGAAAGGCGAGGCTCGCCGAGCCATTTACCTCTCCGCCCTTCAGTTAATCCCACATGTATGTATCAGCCAGGCTGACACAGTAAACTAACTACCTCAAATGGGAAGGGAAAATTAGGTCAAAGGGGATTACTTTGGAACATGAGTATGTGCCCTAAGCAGAACTAATGGATTTCTAAACTGTCTCTTTAAAGGGGCAAATTAGAAGAAAACGGGGCTCTGAACTGCTGATGAGAGGTGGTGCTGCCTTCTGTCCTTGGAGACTCTGTCACATGGCGCTCCGGCCTAGCCTGCAGAAAACCAGAATGTTTTTCTCTCCCTTTAGAAATCTTTACTTCTCTTCGTTATTATCTGCACATAGATTCTCTCCCTAGACATACACATGTGCTTAAATTTTGACTTGAAATTCTCTATAGGTAATCTCATCTCAAATCTCTAGTATGTCTAGTCAGATTTATAGAGGATGAAAGTAATATTGGAGATTAAGACTTTATTTTTCATTATTTCTTTTCGGCACTTTCCTAGGTCTTCAGCATACCTTCCACTCATCTGCCAGTTGGCTGGACAGGTGGGAAAGATCACAAACGACAAAAGCATTAGGCCCGGGAATAGTGTAGCATATCTACAAGTGTGTTTATAGATATTTGTGATGGATATATACACAGAGATTGCTTTAAACTATAAGCTAAAATCTATTCTACATGAGCAATCACACTCTACAAGCAAAGTTGCCATAGTTATAATTGTATTGTGTTTATTATTGATTGTATTAGTTAAAATATATCAATTTAAGAATTAATATGTTTTAAAATTCATTGTGTATTATACCTGTTCTTTAGGCCCTTCCCCCCAGACATTCTTCAGCTCTAAGTTGAATGTTAACATTTCCTGGAAACTTCCTCAAGCCCCAAACTGAAGTTCGGCTTCTCCTGACGCTTACTCTCATGTGTTTTCTTCACCGTAAATGTGTTTTCATTTCTTGGATTTCGTTCTGCTTTTCTAGGGTTTTAATGTTTTGTTACTGAGGGAAACAGGTCTGATTTACCACAAAATTTCTCAGAATATCTCAAACATACAAGTTTGTCCAAGTCATCTATAGAAAGCCAAAAAGGGAAAAGAAAAAGCATTACCATGTTCTCTGCCATCCTCCTCCTCATCTCTGCCCTATCCTTTCTTCCTTCATCCAGATCAGCGGTTCTCAACCTGTAGGTCGTGACCCCTTTGGGGGTCAAACAGCCCTTTCACAGGGGTCACCTAAGACCTTTGGAAAATACATATTTCTGATGGTCTTAGGAACTGAGACATTGCCCCTCTATCCGCCTCCAGGCAGGTCCGCCCACATGCAGAGATGCCCATATACCAGTACTGGAATCACGCCAACCCCATCACATACACCCCTTACAAATATAGGTGTATGTGACAGGGTTGGTACCATAATGTACTTACGCAGACCAGTCACACATGTGTAGAGAGCAGCTACTGCGTAGAAAATAGCTGCTGTGTTGAAAGCAGCTACTCTGTTAAAGCAGCTACTGTGTTGAAAGCAGCAGTATTGGAGGAAAAATGACACTTTGTGAATTATAATTACGTGTTGCTTTTGTGATTAATCACTATGCTTGAATTGTGCTCAATTTATAACAATAAAAATACATCTTGCATATCAGATATTTACATTATGATTCAGAACAGTAGCACAATTACAGTTATGAAGTAGCAATGAAAATAATTTTAAGGTTGGAGGTCACCACAACATATGGAACTGTATTAAAGGGTCACGGCATTAGGAAGGTTGAGAACCACTGATCCAGATGAAGGTATAAAGAAATTAATATGTGAAATAACTAAAACTGTGTGCATAGGCTGGCATTGATAAGACCTTTTCCGTTTTCTCACTAATATCACTTCTGTTTTGATCTTGCATTGTTTTTTAATTTTCCATCTAAGTGCAGAAGAAAATAGGCAGCCATTATTGGACAATTTCTGTTTCAAGAAGTTGAGCATGTAGTTAAGGAGAAGTCATGTAGCATAATGAATAGGTGCATGGAACTTTCAAGTCCAACTATTTGGGTTTAAAATTTGACATTGATACTTATCAGCTAGTTAACAATAGGCAACCTGCTTACCCTGTCTGGCCTGATTTGTAAAATGGATATTAATAACAGCCACCTCTAAATCTATAATACGGATTCATGAGTTGACATAGCAAGATTCTTCCATAAGTGACTGAACTTTGTAGAAAATAAGCTGAGGTGAACTATTCTGTAATACAATATCCCCCAAACCAAACTCCCTGCCATCCAGACATTTCGGACTCTTAGTCATCCTATAGGACAGAGTAGAACTGCTCCTGTGGGTTTTTGAGACTATAAATCTTTGTGGAAATTGAAAGCCTCATCTTTCTCCCATGGAGCAGGTGGTTTGAAGTTGCTCATCTTGTGGTTAGCAGCCCAGTGTGTTAACCCGCTATACCACCAGGGCTCCTTCTAATGGAAAATAAACCAAACCAAACTCCCTGCCATCAAGTTGATGATGACTCATAGCGACCTTATAGGACAGAGTAGAACTGCCCTGTGAGTTCAGAGACTAACTGGTTATGGGAGTAGAACACCCTTCTTTCTCCCTCAGAGAAGCTGGTGGTTTCAAAATGCCAAGCTTGCAGTTAGCAGCCCCAAGTGGAAGCCTTATGCCACCAGGACTCCTGATAATGGAAAATACATGTTTGCTAAGTAAATATGCACATGCATATACACATTTACCCTCGTGTATTTTATTTATCGGCAGATGGACTTGCCAGCTTCAAAAGCTTCCTGAAGTCTGAGTTCAGTGAGGAAAATCTTGAGTTCTGGATTGCCTGTGAGGATTACAAGAAGATCAAATCTGCTGCCAAGATGGCTGAGAAGGCAAAGAAAATTTATGAAGAATTCATCCAAACTGAAGCTCCTAAAGAGGTTGGTCCTAAGATACAGGTGGTGAACAAGGGCTCAGCAACTTCCCAGTAAGGATTTATCTCTGAGGCACAGGGCTATGAGTTTGGGGTCTAAGGTACTCGTATTAGTAAGGAACCATCCTTTAGTAAGTCCTTACTAGGATCAAAAATGAACAATATGGTCAAGCAGAGATAAACTTGAATTGCGCTGAGACCAATTCCAGTTATTTGTGCCTCACTTGAGTAGTATGTAATCACTAGTCATAATAATACCTTTTGTGTTATCTTGGACAAATTATTGAATCTCTTTGAACTCCTTTTCTCTGCTCTTCTATATTATAGCATTTCATTTTTGGTAAAATTTACTCAGCAAATTAGACTCCCATTATATAATATGTATGCATATTGCTCAGCAACATTGGTGATATTTTCCATAATGCATCAACATTCCCATTATTTCCATTTTCATTGTTCCATTTGCATTAATCTAGAAGCCCTCCCCTCCCCCTCCACCCCTGTCCTTGAGGGTAAATGTTGATTGTTTAATCTTGTATATTTGATGTTCCCCGCCCCACCCCCCCATGGTTGTGGGGTTTCCTAGGGAAGTAACATGTTACAATTCAGACTCAAGAATATTCAGCATCAATTCTGTCATCTGGACAGCCTCTTTTCAGCTGTACCATAGACAAGTCTGTCTCTCACCCTTGGTCCTTTGACCAGACCTCTGCCCTGCTCAGGCAAGTTTACAAAACCCTTTCTCCGTGATGAGAAGTGCCCAGAGACGACACCCCACTCTGCCCATAAACTGAAGCCCCAAAGCACTCAAGTGCAGCACTGTGGGTTGTCAAACCTAGCTCCACTAAGTGCCTGGAGGTACCCTACTCTGCCAGTACGTTTCTTACCTAAAGGCCTTCATTCCATGTTCTCAATTTGTGGGCTGAGAAGCCCACTGTGCTGTCCCGTGGTAGATTCCCGTTATTCTGTTGCTGTTGTTCCTCTCCACTGCACTTGTTAAAACGCTTCCCTTCTCTCTCTGTCTCCCGTGTCAAGGAAGTTCCCAGTACAGGGACTCCAGGTCCAAAAGACACTTTCCACTCCTGGAGCTTACTTGCTTTTTCTTCGTTGTCATAAAGTCCCCTTGCTACTTCTAGGACATCTCATTTTAAGTCTAGCTGAGAAGCAAAACTGACCAACGTCTGCATTAGGGCCCTATATACCTTATTTGCTTCCCCCTGTCCCAACAAAGATGCGGTGTACCCTATTTGTATTATTTGCAGACCATCTAATTTCCTTGGTTGGCCACAGGTACCTTATTTGCACAACTGTACCCAGTTAGTATTGGGAGCTACATAGACTACCACTAGAAGAGCCACTATTGAGTAATTCACAGTTCCAAGGGCCATCCTATGGCTTTTCTAAGCTTAAGAATTTAGTCTCCCTTCCCAATAAATTTACCTGTCCAAAACAATTTACCTGTTATCAACAATTAGCCCATCACTAGGGCAAAGATCCCCAATGTGAGGCTGCTTATGTACTTAGTCATTTAGGTCTTCTGCAGGTGTCCATCTGATTGGCTCAGTTTCTCCAAAAACTTATCTTGGCTCTACCTTTCCTGATCTCTGATTTAGTTTAATTGAGAGACGATACTTCCTTTGACCTGAGCTTTACGTGGTATCAACATAGCAAACCTTTAACAGAGTTTAGGTTCGTCACCATCTCCAGTCCAGAATTGCTTCTTCCGTAGTCCACTCTTTAAGGTATAGCTTCCATAATTACAGTTTTTAGAATCACAGTTAACCCTTTTAATACCAGCACTCAAAAGTGAATCACATAATCCTATTAGCATCTTCTCCTACCCTCTCTTTTCCAGACCCATCAAAGAAAGAAGGATCTATTCAATCAGGACCTTTCCTTAAACCCTCATATTTATTATTACACACTGACAAAAGTATCTAAGCCAGCCACAATATACTTTTGTCATTTTCCTCTTTGGACAACCAATGTTTAAATTGCTCATCCCTATTGAAGCAATAGTCTGGGGGGAGACAAGTATCCCTGGGTCTGCAGAATTTTCCAGTCTGGTTGGAACTTTAAGCATCTGCATCCATAAGCAAAGTCCAGTCCAAAGTGAACCATCAAATTGCAGCAAGTTATAACCGCTCACGGTATCAAACACATTTCTTTTAATTTTTCGTGTTCTGGTCCATTGATCCCTAACCATTCAAGCTCTTTACATAGAATACTAGGATTTGTGTAAACATCTGCAAATCTCAGAGGGTGCATTGCTTTAGGGAAAACAACATTGGGGGTTATCATGAAAGTATGTGACATTAAAATAGTGTGCAAAGTAATGAAAAATCTGGCTGACTGGGTTGCTAAAATAATAAATGATACCCCCTTTCACCACCAATCACAAGGACTTATGGGCTCTTATTTAATATCCTTGGCCCTCATTATGGATGCTCCCTGCTAATGTAGGGATACAATAATATATATAACACCCCCAAAGCAGGCAGCCCAAGATAATATAGACTAATAAGCTTGAGGTGAGCCTCAAAAAGCATGTGAATTCTAGTTCTTCTACGTGATAAGCATTCTGTAAACATTGTGTGATGAATGGATACGGTTATGCTCGCTCCAGACCTTCCTAGATGTGTGATTTAGAGCAAGCGTCCAGCTAAAGCTCTGTCACCCTGTGTTTCCTTATCGATGAACATCTTATGTGCATGTATGTGTACCTGTGGCACATTTCAAAAGTTTTTAATGCTTAAAAAAATCTCAAAGTCTTGAATTTTGATCAAAATATTTTTTATTCCATTTAGATAAGTAGCAGGTTGACGTACATGACAAATCTACTCAAGCAAATAGTAACCTGTATGTTCCTTCTCAGATCATTCACTTTAGCTCTGTAGTATCAGGAGATGATCCAGAGATACACTCGTGAGAACTGGAGATAAGCTTAAAAACAAACAAGCAAGCAAGCAAGCAAACAAACAGAAGAAGAAATGGCCATGTGTATTTTAACAAATCGATAATTTTTGCATTATAATTTTTACTGGACCATGTTTCAAAATAACCTATGGTGTGATCCTGCCTTAGCAAACAGATAGCTATCCCAGAATGGCTCCCTAGACTTGGAGGAGACCAATGACAGGGAAAACAGCTCGTATAAGCCGTTGGCTACCATGCTAGAGGATCCTTCCTAAACGTACTGCTTCATTTTAGATAAAGTAAAAGTAGGAACTACGTGAACCATTTTTATGATTTCAACCATTTTAAGTAAGGCTGCCTACCGAGTTCAGTCTCAGATTTAATGTCAGTAAGGGGAAAAACAGTTGTTGTTTTTACTGTAATGGGAAGAAGAAGAATCTGATCATTAAAAAGTAAGAGTTACAATCTTGGGAACTCACAGGGGCAGTTCTACCCTGTCCTTTAGGGTCGCTGTGACTCACCATTGGCTCTATGGCAGTGAGTATTCGTTTGTTTGTTTGTTATTGTAACCTCAGAGGTGCCTCACACTAGTTTTTTGTGGACATGCCACTTGACCCCTTGCAGCCTATTTTCACATGTGTAGGTAGGCAGTGGGCTGAAGCACTAGCAGTTTCATGGTAAATGTAATTAAAAGATAAAAGAATTTTCCATAAACTTTTTGAAGTCTATCGAAATCAATCAGTCAACCTGGCTGTAAATGGGAAGAATCATGCTTTGGACTTTGAGGACTAAATGAAGTATCCATGAAATAGCTAATGGTGAGAGTCTGACATGGTGGGTATCTAAACATGAAGTGAATTTTAATCTGCATTATGCAAGTATTAGAACATCAGTATTTCTGATTACCCAATTGCCTGTAAGATAGAAATGAGGTTTCTTATTTCATATGATAACTTTTCTTATTTGTTTCATTGGTAAAAAATGTTGTTCCCTTTGTCTGTAACTCGGGCTCACCCCGTGACCCTGTTCTCCGGTCAACAGGTGAATATCGACCACTTCACGAAGGACATCACTATGAAGAACCTGGTTCAGCCTTCTCTGAGCAGCTTTGACCTGGCTCAGAAAAGAATCCATGCCCTGATGGAAAAGGATTCCCTGCCTCGCTTTGTGCGCTCTGAGTTTTATCAGGAATTTATCAAGGCAATTTAGTAGGGCTCTGAAAATTATCCTGCAAGTTAGTTCTTTAATAGTAACCCGCAATTTTAAGTAACCACCATATCTTCCCACAGCAGCTTTGCTCCAAGATACTCCGACAGGGAAATTCCTGGGAGCATTCCTTACTCATTCTGCACACATTGTTTAAAGGGTTAGCTATCGTCCAAATGCGCTCCTTTCCCAGTGCTGACGTGCCCCATTTTAAATTAAGCTCTACTCAGCTTGCTGTTGGCAGCATCATAAATCAAAGAAATAAAAAACAAGAATATGATATTATTGAATATGGGACAATTTGACTTGGGTTGTGGATCGCCACCTAAATTGGACAGGAAGGAGTAAATAGATGTGGAAAAACTAAGGTTAAGAGTAATTAATTGTCTTAGCTATTTCTTTAATTCTCATGAGGGGTGGATGGAAATCATCTCTAAATTTTTTCTGGTGAAATATTTGGTTTTTAAAAGAAGTATATTATTCAGAGTACTGATATTCCCCTCAAAGTATTTTCATGTCAGCTAGAGGGTTATAAGTGGAGATATGACCACAAATATATTGCATAAATCAATCTAAAGACAAACTGCATTGCATATACTTCCTTTATCTCTAACAATGTTACTAATTTAAATCAATGAAATCAGAGACCTGGATTTAACAATGGTCTATTTTATAAATATATCTATCATCTAAGCAAAAAGTTTCCATTTTCAAATTATTTTGAATCCACGTGTGTATAAAATTCCCAAAATTCCAACATCAACTGTATGAAGGGAAACTTGCTGTGCATGGCAGGGGTTCCCCACCTCTAGATCAACAGGTTTGTACACTAAAATGGAAAGAGAATGTGCAGGTTGAAATGTCTAATGATCCTATGATACCATGTATTTATTTAGCAAAAGGTTACTATCCTCAGAACACCAGGTTATCTTTGGAAAAATTAATATGACCACCCCCAGAAACTCCCTGAGTGAGACTGAGTTGCAAAGTACCCTGAACTGTGCTGAATGATGTGGTTTGTCAGTGCCCCTCATTTGCCCTCACAATTTTGCTTTCAGCTTGAGTAAGTTGTATTTATAGTGGAAGTGCACATTTATACCCCTAAAATGCCTCCCATATAGTCAGTTGATAAGGTGATAGATGGTCATTTTAGTAGTTTTAAGCATTAATTGTGCATTTTATTATTATAAGTCTTGGTAGAGGATTTTTAACCCTACTCTTTAATAGGATTGAATAGACCATAATTTGCATAATTTAATACTAACAAGAGTCTAATTAAACCATGTATGGGGATTATCAAGATAAGGTTATGGAGCTGATTCAAATTTAAGAGAATATTTTTAAGGGTTAGGAGAATTCTGAAGTGTTAAAGTACAAGAACGCACTGTACTTTCGTTTGCTCTCCCCCACTCCCCTTTTGTCTTTTTCCCCCTAGTTTTCCATATTTAGAGTCTGTGTAGTCAGAGATTACAGAGTGATCCCCAAGATTATTCACAATGCAGTACCTGTATCACTCTATCCTTCAGGTCAACACTGAAGGCGTGGGTTGGTTTCCTCCCACTATTTTTTTTTTTTTTTAATTTCAAAGAACACTATGCTTTGCCTGCATACTCATCACTTCAGGATCTGTAAGCAGGCTGGAGTGACTGATCAGCCGCCAACAGTTGCTCCCGTGGCAAGAATTCTCTCACCTTTGCGAAGACTGCTCGCTCTGAGAGACTCCTTCATCCAGCAGTGGGTACTAGACCCAGAGCAACATGGTGAAGGGAAGGCGCAGTTCTCCTGCGATAAATCTGTGTCCGATTGACAAAACTCAGAGTTAAAATCCCAACGCATGCGTACTCGCACTTCACGCACCACCTTCTTCAGCATCTCTTCTCTGCCGTGCCTCCATGGTAATGGACCAGCGCTTAGCTCTCTCCAGGAGCGCTGCTGGTGTAGTAGCTGTGGTGTTTGCTCTCAGAGCCCCCCAGGGCTCTCTAACCTGTCCTAGAGGGTCACGGGGTCCCAATCAAATCAATGGCGGTGCCTTTTGTTTTTGTTTCTGCTTTCGAATGCAGCTAGAACTTTTAAGAACTCAAGAAGAGTAGGTGAGTTTTTTTTTCTTACATGCCAAAACATTTTCGTTTTTTAAAATATTTTGTTGTTTTTGTTTTATATGCTTTTTCTGAATGCTTTTTACATTTTATTATTATGTTTCAACAGTTTTATTGACACATACTTTACAGATCATATCATTGAATAGTTCATTATATCAAGGGAAATTGTACCATCACCACCACATCTACCAAAATATTTTCAGTTAAAAACACAAACATTTTAGTGAGGTTGTTTGAACTATCCAAACTTTTGAAAATGCCCGGGTAACTAACTCGGACGTGCAGCTCTCACCTAGCATGCTGGCCATGAAACCCCAAATCGACTGTTCTCGTGGCGCAGCCGTGGCAGTGGGTTAATTGGTCAGCGGGAAGTAAAAGGTACCTTCCCCGTTTCATCAGCTGAACTGGGGCAGCGGGCGGCCGGGAAGGGTCCCAACGGAGCCGGGCACACGAAGAACGCCTTCCAGTCGACACAGGAACTCTTTCTACATGCACCTACAGAGTCTTTACCATACGAAATGATTAAACTAAACGAACATGCTCTAGTACCAAGTACGAGAATTGCCTTAGAAAAGTTATTTGAAATCTTGGGCGGGGGTGGGGTGGGGGGCGTGTTACTAGTAGTTTGCATACTAACAAAGAAAATACATTCTTATAATTCTGAGGAATTAGAAAAACTGGAATGGCCTTTCCAGGGGAAAGAAAAAAAAGTGAAGTGTCTGTTTATCTCTCTTGCCTCCTTCCCTCTCTTCCACACACTTTCCCAGCAGTAACGTGTCTGGGAAAACAGGAGGTTGACTAGGAGCCCTGCAGGACTGGCATTTTCCTTGTGAAAATGTAACGACAGTCGTAGGTGAGTCTGGTATGTACAGAGGTGGTCGAACTAAATTGTGATCAATGGGAACAGGAATAGATGCTTCTCCTTCGTGGAGAAACATATGATTAGCACAGGAAATGGCCCACAACCTAAATTGTTATGCCTGGCTTTAAATATAGTTTGGATTTGAAGTCAGATTAAGAGCTAAATTAAACCAAGACAAAAAGACATTTTATTGACTTTCGAGTACTCTTCTCTACACACACACACACACACACACACACACACACATTCTCTTTCTCCCAGATAGATACCTTATGAAATAGACAATCCCCAAGTTACAAATGTTTGATTTACAAACCGACTCCTGTCCTTTAATGCGATGTAAACTTGTCCCCACATTGCAATGGGCGTACCACTCCCTGCTCCCAGCAAATTCTTCATCGCATGTACCTTCGTGTTCTACGTGTGCAGCTTTGGGATCATTAAAAGGACTTGGAGCGTGTTCTTGCACACCAACAGAGGCTAAATAAGAACCATATGCGCCTGTTTGGATTCTTTTACAATTTTCACTTAAAAGACTTAGACACAGTTAGGAAAGGTCTCATTTGTAACCTGAGGTCGAACTTGTATTCACGTAGAGAGGCATTTCAATAGCCTTGCTTTCAAATAAGCAGTCAGGTGGATGGAGATGTTATGTGCCCTGCTCGCCATACTTCTCCACTCCTATCAGTGCTGTATAAATTATGCTTTAAGCTGATTCAGCTTTGAGTAAATCTAGAGAGGAACATGGTTAAAGAAATCATTTTTAGTTTCATTTTTACAATGCAATAGATGTATTTTCTTACACAACATTTTGATAGGATGGCATTATTAACTATTTTCTAAAGAATGATTGGTCTCCCCAAAATGCACCTAAAATCTTTACCATTGATGAATCAGTTAATAAACTAATTAACAATTCCATTAATAAACCAAGTTTACTTGCCATGCCTTTGCAGAGTTAGCAATTTCCTAAACGTTGTGATAATTTGAGAATCACTTGAAAGATTAGTTACATGTCATAGAAGTGATTTTTATCCCTGAAATCACTCATGCTAGTGGGCCATTTCCCCCCCTTTTTGCTAGGGATTTAGCAGGCTTAGAGTCAGTCATGAGAAGGAAGGGGACAAAGAAAAGAAGAAATTCGGGAAAGAATTACGTGCTCAAAACCTCCAAATTAAACCCATTCGTTTAAGAGCAGTTCATTGTTACTGAAAATCCAGTCTCCTTTTTGCAATCATTTTTGAGAATTGCAGGAAAGGATTTCTTAACTCATCATGCAGCTAGATAAGGAACTTCACCTTAACATCCTAGAGAGCCTTGACTAGAGAAAACTAACCAGCAAACAAACCAATGTAGAGGATCTGCATTCCCCCATTGGACTTGAATGTGCCAGAATGTAGAGTGGAGAACTCAGTTTCTATACTCAGGTGTCTAAGCCCAAGGGCCAGGCAACTCTGCATAAATTCTGGACATGAGGTCTTGGTGCAGCTCAGCATCACCTGACTGACTTGCCATCAGACTTCTCAGATTTTCTAGTCTCTCCATTATATCATGCAAAACATGCATTTAACAGTTCCTTTGCCCAAGATGCTTTAAAGAAGGATTTAGCAGCTGCTGCTTATGTTAAACACAGTATTCACTCAGAGAATCAGAGCAATCTCCACACAAGGAAAGGGTTTTCCCAGCAGAACCATACTGGGAACTGAAAAGGTCTACTCTCCCAAAGGAGCCATTAGTGGCTTTGAATGGAAACTCACAGCCTAAAGTTGCAGGCCAAATTTCTTAGGAGCATTATCACCTACTTTACTGTGTAATAATAAATATCCTGTTTTTGTCTTGTTTTTTTCTCCTAGTACAGACACTACAAATCAACCTTTCAACATTATTAAAAGAGTATAAATCTCTTGCACATTGCATGTTCTCTGACTTGATACACTTTTCCTTCTCACCCTACTCCCATATTCTTTTTGTCTTTTCCCTCAGGAAGAATAAATAATTCAGAATTGGGAATAACCACAATGATGTGATAGTAGGTTCAAAGCTTTTGACTCCTTACTTAGAGGCTAATATTCCAGGAGGATAGGCAAACAGAATGGAAATGATTTTAAAAAAATCCTTTTGGAGATAAACTCTCTGGATAATGTTTGCCAAAAGCCTGTTTTTAAATTTTCTTTTCATACCATTTCAATATTTTTGAGACTTGTATTATAACTCTCAACTCTTCTTCAGGTGACAAAGCCCAGAAAATGGAGTAGAAATTAAAGATGTGGAAGCTCATTTGTCAGTCCTATCCTGTAAGCATTTTATCCAGAACAATTGTGTTTATCTTCTGAATTTGTATCCAATATTTTATGAACTATGTGAATCATGCCTCTTGACAAGTAAAACACCAAATATGCATCTGCAACCAGGACCGCATACATTATATTAAATGTTTATCTGTATAACACTAATCCTTCTTGCTTCCCGAGTATTCTTTATTGGAGAGGTTTTTTTATTATTATTATTTTAAAGGTATACTTGTTTCTTCACTGTGCTTTTTATATCTTGTGAGCCCTTCATCAATTTAGAAGATCCTTATCCCAAAAAGAATCAGCTGCAATATGGCATGGTATGTGACATTCAGAGAGGGAGATACAAAGTGTTCCATTTTTATATATTCTGTTGACTGTTTCCCTTGGATT